CTGACTGCGCCGCGGTTGTTGTAGAATATGGAAAGGGCAGTTGCCACGGCATGAACTCTGCTACAGGAAAACTACACGTTGATAATGATGTTGCCTACTTCAGCAAGATATGTGTGAAGTGTATGTATATTTGCTTTGTACCTGCAGTTTCCAATTGCAACATACAAAACATATTAGCTATTTTTTATCAAGAGAAATAAATGAATGGAGGAGCATATATGCTAATTAATATTTTTCACTGTAGCCTCCTATTCAATGCCGCTTGCGGTCACAGTCACGCGAGTAGCCGCAAAGTGGAAATATGTAATTTCTTCGTAGGTTTACTCAATGAACATTGTTTATAAAACAAAGTTAGTAAACTAACATATTAGTCCGCGAACGAAAGTGTTCAGCGAACTTATCGCAACCTAGTTACATTTGGTTACGTAATACGTTGACAGCACATACTGGCTGCTCATAAAATTTATCTAACATTTTCAACCTACCCTCAACAATGTTACTATTGACTACAAACTGTAAAAAACATATTTTAAGCATGAAAAACAGAAAGTAATAGAAAGGTGCGGTTAGGGTTAGTGATTCTCCTTTAAAGTCTCCTGTTATATTGTGCATACTTTTATTATCAACGCCATTATTACGATTTATGTAAGTAAAATCGAAAGCCATATATTGTATGTGAACAAAGATGAGAATTTACTACCAATCAACTTTCAATTTCTCATAGAAACTGTATTGCAGTGGCTGAGGAATGCGAGCGTCGTTGGTGGGCGCTAGAGAGCACACCTAGCTATTACCTGCAGTCGTCTACCGCAGGGGAGACCAGGCTCAATGTCACAGAGCAGGAGTGCTACGAAGCTTTACTTGCAGCAGACAAGAATACATACCGGTACGTTTATAACAGCGAGACCATCGGTTTAATATGTTCAAAACACTTAAAAAGATTGGAAGTAAAAGGGTCATTACTTTAAAAGGATTAGTCAGTGTAAGAAAGTAATAAAGAAAATGTCCATGAATTATGGACTTTACATACGAAATAAATCGTAAACTTGTTATAACAAGCTATCGAATTAAATTATATTTTATTTAATACTGTAATTTTTTTCCAGATCAGCGCAATGGATAGTGCCCGAAAGTAACTCTATTATGTTCGAAACGATGACGAGTAATTTGGGCAACTGCATCCTGATCGTCGAGAACAAATTCACCGAACCCGAGTCGTATCGGGTCTCTAACTCCTATACATATTATATAGAAAATCAATGCGGACATGATT